AAAATCATGTCACTGCATGTAAACATCTGAGGAGTTGGGGCTCCTATGTTCTTTGGCCTATCCCTTGCATTACAGTTGACGATAGTAAATGCATATAAAATGGAATTTGGGCACGCTGCACTTCCTGCTTTTGTCCGCTGTCTAGGGCAAAAACATCATAGTTGGACCACCTACGACGTGAAACCGTTGTGCGGTCGCTTGCACTCATTATTGCTGCATATTTTGCAGCAGTTGAGAATAGGTTCATGCACATGTGCACAAATTCACACTTCGAAACTGCACGTTTCCAGTTGGAAGACTGGCTCAACATTTCACACGACTTGCCGAGTAAGGAATCTTCATTGACTCATGGAAGTCTTCAATCGTTTCTTCCTCTTCAGAATGTAGCAATCCACCTGGGCACCAGAGCAGCAATTTTTTTCGCAAGCCAGAGGATGGATGAGCTAACGGGATGGTGTCCATGTCCATGGCCAAATCAAAAAGATACCCTGTCGGACCAAACTATCGCAGTCTTTGGCTGCTTAGTTTATCACCATTTTTACAATGAAGATGTCATAATAGGGCTTACCCAGAAGCCTGGTCTGTTGTATCGCAGGCTTCCGATTTTGTTCGACTGGTCCCAAGTGTTGCTGAGATCAGCTGGATCATGCTGGATCCCAAATATGGTCATATGGTCTCATTCCGCGAAAAATATGATCATAATTTGGCTTCCAAAATGAAGACATGTAAAAAATACATTTCTCTCAGCAGCATGTGGGTTTGTTTGAAAATAGTGCACATCCAAAAATTGCATCATTAATGAGAATCATCACGTGTGCCCTCAAACATTGTCATTTTTTATCTCTTGGTATCCCTAAAAGACACATCATAAGAATCATAACACACCAAGTTCAAATCCCAACTTCGTTGTCAAATCTCTAAGCCCCAAGCTCATTTCCAGCCGTCGAATACGGGCGGAGAATTCAATTTGAATCTCTTCAACCGCATTTCCTGATCCTTCTTCGCAGTCATCACACCGTACCTGGCACGGCTCAAGATTCACTCTTTGAACTCATAGATCACGCAGTGATTTTCTCAATCCTTCCCTCTAATGAAAGTTTACCCTCTGGTTATTTAACATAGCCATGGAAAATGGCCCATTTGTAGATGATTTACCTATTAATAGCATGGTGATTTTCCATGGCTATGTTAGTCATAACCAGATGGTACAGCCTTTTTAGATCTTTAATTCGTGCCCTTCAAATGGATCGAAGTCAGGCTTTTTCGGGGCCCTTGGAGAGGGGGAATCACAGCAGTCCGCACCTTACGAATCTCGAACATGGCACCTGACCGAGGACGAAGCTGAGAAACCCATCGAAATACGCGAATTCTTTCGAGATGTTTAGGGCCAACAAAAACATACCAAAAACATACCAAAAACATAACAAAACCATCAAAAACCATCAAAAAAAACAATGTTTTATCCGGTTCAAACCGTGACCAACGGCCCCCCTTTTTTTTCGCGCGGCTTCGACGGCTGAGGCTTCGACGAATGATCCTGGGCACATTCCAGCCCCTTGCAGCCGCAAAGCCTCACTGGTGGTACCCAAACGGTACCCTAAAATCGTTGGTAAATGGATGGTTCTTCCCCCAGTAGGGTAATTTCATAGCTAATGAATCATAAGAGTCAAATGAGGACTAGTTGAGTAATACTTCATCAATTGAATTACAATTATCAGACAATGAAATAGTAATTATAGATAGTAATTACTAATAATCATTTAAACAGCAACTATTAACTGTTAGTACTATTCCTATTATTAATGGGTCTAGAACAGTGAATTCTGATTGATAAATAATGAACTAGTAATTATGGGTCCCTCACTATGGGTCACTAATCAATGATAATTATGACAACACAATCCGTAATTATGGTTCATTGATCACTAATCATCGTAATGATGTGGCGGTACTAATGAGATACAATATGATACAATGATATACAATGCATATATATATATATAAATCACCAAAATAAAGTCCCAACCGAAACTTAGAACCCAAGCTCATTTTGACCTTCCAGTTCACAAGAATCCGGGTTTCAACCCCTCCGGCCCTCCAAATATCATCGCTCAGCCGCCCGTGACAGGAATGGCAAGCCCAGCACAAAGGCATAGGATTATCACGTGCGTGTTTGGTCCTTTCCTGTGTGGAGGAGCCAGTATTCGCAACCTCGCGACAGCTTGCGACGACGTGAACAATTATCATCCAGCTTCTTGGAGATTTTGTTCGGGAAACCTATGGTTTGGGTTCCGATTATGAGAAACGCTCCAAATGTGAGACCAACTTTGCTGCGAAGTTCTTAGGTCAAGGATGGTAAGTTTGTTTCTGTCAAGTCCATGGGTAGTCCATAAAGTGCCCAAGGCTGCCAATTTCAACAGTTTTCAAAAGTCCCGGCCTGCCACTGTCGAGACGCACCGTATCGGGGAAGGCATCAAGCAGCATGTCTTGCATCAGTAGTCCCAGCTTGGAACCAACTTCCTACGGACAATGAGAAGGTGTCAAATGACCACTGAGCAGCTGATTCATCTGCAACAAACATCCTATGTAATTATTCCTCTCTATTCAGCTGGTTATTAATGATCCATTCCCATTAAATCCACGTAAAATTGTTGGTTGACAGGGTACAAATCCCATATATCAACCAGTTGACCGTTTGACCCCAAAATGATTGGATCGTACATCTTATCACCATTAGGGTTTGTCTGAAAATGGGTTAAACCTTCACGAAAATGGCCTATCAATGGGGTTACTATTCTTACCCATTTTGCCAAATATCATAATTAATGAGATGATTAACCATTATTAATTAACCATTATTAATGCTTAACCATAATTAACCAATATCTTACCCATATGAAATGGGGTGTATTTGATAATACTACCCATACTAAACACAGAATCCAAACCGTTGGATTTGGGGATCCTATTTTCAAACAAATGCCATCCGGTTAGCCCCCCAACCCCCCCCCCGTGATCCCCAGGGGGGCACGATTGGTACATGATATCATCAGATCTCAACATCCTTGGGGACGTCTATGGTTTTGATCTATTGTGGTTTTAGTTTACATTTATGATGAGGTAATCCTACAACTCACGGATGCGGGTTTGAATAATTTGTCCATCTACTGTATCATATTCAGAAACCAAATTATCAGATTCAATGAATAGAGGTTATATGTATATGTAATTATAAATACGATTTTTACTATAAACCATGCATTTTGGAAAATCCCTATTTATGGAAACCCCGTCTCATAACTCATATCTCTGCCATCATTAAGCCATGCCGTGCCGTGTCCTGCCATGCTTTCGCTTTCCAATGCTCTTCCAGGACAAACAGCGACGAGGCGGCTGCACTCAAGGTCCTCTCCTGGGAAAACATGGGGTCAACAATGGGATCATCATCAATAGTCAATGAGTCAATCATAACATAGTCAATATAATAATAGTCAAAAAATATTTTTAAAAAAAAAAAACATGAATATACATAATTTTCAACAGTACTAGTCAATCACCAGAATCATAGTCAATAAATGTATATATATATAATAATAAGCAATTATAATAATAGTAATAATACTCATATAAAATCATAGTTGATAATAATATTGATAATAATAGTCGATCCATCAATAATCGTCAATAATAGTTTATCACAATCCCATGATTATATATACATTTATATACACAATCAATGGGATCGTAATAAAACAATCAACCCATACTAACATATACTGTAATCACAATAATGATCCCATACTCATGGGATTATAAGAATAGCCATAAACAAAAACAACCATAATAATCAACAAGTGCAGTCAATCATGATTAGTCAATCTTGGTGATATATCCCACCGTTATTAGTAATAATATGTAATAATCTTGGTATCGACAATAATAGTAGATAATTAGTATGTATATATATATATAATATATTTAGAAATACTGATCACCAATCAGTAATGGTCATACACCCTAGAGCCATGCCACGCATAGCCAGCTGCAAATCATGGGACAGTTAACATTTCGGAAATCAACGCGGCTTGGAAGGGCTACCTATCGTCGGCGTCCCACTTGGCAGGGTTTCCCACTGAGGATGTGGCGGGTGGAGACTTGAAGACGCTTAGGGACTGCTGGAACATGTGCTGCTGCCTCCCTTGCCTGAAAAATCAGTGGAGTGGATGCCGATGGGCTGTCTTTGGATACTTTCAGACCTAGCAATGGCTCAGAACATCCCAAACCTACATTACAAAGCTAATTATTCATCATATGTTCACTTCTGAATAGTCCCAAAAAAAAACCTTGGCCTATTAATGAGATTTAGATAGTTGTTGCTAAACCCATTTCTACATATTTCTACATTGCCTAACATAAATACCATACATGGCATCATTTCTCCGTCGCAAAATAAGGCGCTGACAATCCACAGCCGTCCAGGATGCGAGGGAGTTGCTGCAGGATCTGGCCCAAATGAGCCTTGGGCCATTGGGACCGTTGGGTAAACGTGTCTATAAAGAATCTATAAAATATCTATAAAACATCTATAAAATATCTATAAAAATATATGCATATATATATAATATCACCATCCCTTTTCTTCTGCTTCCATCTTCTGCTGGGCCATCCATTGGCCACATTCCTGGGCTGCTGACCAGTTGTTGGACTTCCCGATTTCGCACTTTCGCATCAGGCGTCGAAAAACCTCGACAAACCGATGTGAAAAAAAGCCGATGTGAAAAAACCCATGGCTTTCCTAAAAGGAACATGAATGAACATGATCTACAAATGCTGAGTGGATTCCACTAATGTGAATTTGCAGGAGGGCAACTATAGCTCCAGTTCTGATATCTTCAATTTTTGCCTTTTCATGGCATCAAAACACCATTTCCAGGGCTTTTCCAGCACCTTTTCAATTTGTTGCACGAAAGCAATTGTTCTATACTCACATTATACGCATGTAAAATCCATCAAATCATTACATGTTCCCAAGTTCATTTTCTCCCGTCATAAATGGAAACACTTGATTTCAACCATTACCACACATATATAATTTTCAATACATTACCATCATATCATGTACCATACATTTTCACTCATAATGATAGAATTCATTAGACATCCACATTTCGATCGATTTCCCCGTGGTCAGTTACTTGTACTTGGGGTGCACTTCCAATAATAAGTGGCTTATATAACCAGCACTGGGGATTCCCCCAATCCCATTCCCATCATGATTCCAGTGACGTCACGTGACGTGAGGTCACGTCACATAATTCATCCAGATTCAGAAATTCATCAACAAACATCAACAAACTATATGTTCATAGTCATAGTGATATCATAATTATCCCAATCATAGACCCTAGTTCTTGGAGTGACGTTCACCTACTTACCCTCTGGTAAACGTTTACATAACTATGGCAAATCACAATTTTCTAGCTGGGCAAATCCACCACAGTATTTCAATGGCCATGTTCAATAGTTTTTTGTATGTTTACCAGAGGGTATCCAGCTTTTGGTGGCCCCTATGAGGCCCCGATGGATGTCAAGGCCCCGGCTCCAAAGTTGATGCTTTCGTGCGGCGCTTCGGAGCACCGCTCCGATGGATTGCCAAAGGGCCTACCGAAATCCACCGAACACCGAAATCCCATCCACTGGAACTATGGAAAAATCCACCACTTTTAATAGGTAAACCAACTATCAATGGCTCATGATGCTCATGTTCAATAGCGAACTGTTAGACTGCTAGAGAGTATATGGATGGATCATGGTGATGATGATGGTTATTTTTGATGATGGTGATGATGATGAGGATCGATGATGATGATGATGATGGTGATGATGATGATGATGGTGATGATGATGATGATGATGACGATGACGATGAGGATGAGGATGATTATGATGATGCTGATGATGATGATGATGACGATGACGATGAGGATGATGATGATGATGATGATGACGATGACGATGACGATGACGATGATGATGACGATGATGATGATGATGATGATGATGACAATGATGACGATGATGATCATGATCATGATCATGATCATGATCATGATGATGACGATGACGATGACGATGACGATGATGATGATGATGATGACGACGATGACGATGCAGATGGCGATGACGATGACGATGACGATGACGATGATGATGATGATGATGATGGTGATGATGATGATGATGATGATGATGAGGATGATGACGACGATGACGATGACGATGATGATGATGATGACGACGACGACGATGACGAACGATGACGATGACGATGATGACGACGATGACGATGACGATGATGATGATGACGATGATGATGATGATGATGATGACGATGATGATGCTTGCCATGATGATTGCCATGATGATTGCCATGAATTGTTTTATGGTGGTAAAAACTGTTCATGAATTTAAACTACTGCATTGGTAATATCTGAAAAAACAAAACTATTCATGAATATACATCAATAGGCGTGAATTCAAAAAGTTTATATTAATTGATATTCAGTGATACTGAATTATCATTCATTAAAATGCATTATGATCAGCACCAACCATCTTGATCATAACCATCATATACCATCATCATAATAATAATCATCATCGTCGTCATTGTCATTGTAATCAGCATCATTACCTGTTCATGATCACCATCATGATGAGAACAAAAATACCCGTGCCAAAATCAAACGGATAGACGGATCATGACGGAAAAAAAAACGTGTTCAGCTCACATTTTTTTTGGCGCCTGCAGTTCGTTCATCTCTGCAATACAGGTGTTGAACAGCAAAGGATCCTCCCACAGAAACTCCTTAGTTTCGCCGTTTCGTTTTTGCGTTGGAAAATGGCGAGCGTGCAAATGGACCGATCCGCCATCTATGATATCTGAGGCAATTCCAGCAGTTCCATGAATCATGGAATGAACTTGAACTTATGTTCTTTTGAAAAAACCTGGGATCTGCAACAAGCCTAGATTTGCAAGCCACAGTAGATTAACAGAGGGTAAGTCCCTGACAGATGCTCGACCTTGAGATCCAGAACCTCGACCGAAGAAGCTTTGCAACAGCGCTGTAGTTACCTGTGGACGAGCTGCGTGAAACTTGGAATGTGGGGCAACATACTGCGCAGCATGCAGGGATTTCAACATCTCCTAACTGAAGATATCCAACAAAAATCCAAAAAACATGTTCTAGTCAATTGGCATCATCATACCAAATATTTGAAACCATCCTGCAAGTTGTTGTATTTCTACGCTCAATTGAGGATGCAGGAAGGCCTGCAAAATGGGCCTCAATCAATTTGGGGCCGGAAAGGGAGAAATATCCTGAACAACCACCAAAAAATAGTTGTTTGCCCCTCACGCTCTCTAAATTTGAAAACATAAGTTTCATATGAATGCATTTCCTGTAGGGCCCTCAGCTTCTCATTGGCTGGTTCGCATCTTCACACGTCGTTGCTTCAGATGCTCATATTTGTGTATGGATCACAACTACAACACTTTGCTGACATCAAAATCATCAAAAAACAGTTGGCAAAAAGAATGACTCTTCAAAGCCGTAGTGGCCTCTAAACTAACATGTTTGGGTCATCAGGGGATGGGTCAAAACCCTGGTACCTAGTGAACCCCAAGTCATAGCTGGTATTTATGGATGTTCATCCCACTATAGTAATGTATCTATAGGTATTGACCCATAGCCATCAATGGTTACATCATTTCTAGAGGATTTTCCCCACAGGTTTTCCCCACGTTTTCCCTGGGTCAAACAGGCCTTCAACACGATGGCCACCTCAACGAGGCCCGTTGATCCGGAGCTACCCGTGGAGTCCGGTCGCAGGGATTGCTGGGAGTCCTGGCGCCGGGACGAGCAGAAATTACTGGTGAGTTATAACTAAATGTGGTTATGAACAAGTTCTTTTACATCAGAAAATCGGGAAAAAAACAACTGGTTAATAAGTTCTTTTACATCAGAAAATCGGATAAAAGAACTGCATTGAGTTACTGGTGAGTTTGTTTGAATGTAACATAATGTATGCTGGTACTCGAAGATGCCTGGGATGAGTTCTGGGTAGGCTTGTTATCATTTTTTGACATATATCATCCTAATTGGATTTAGATTTTGCGAACTAATGTGCCATGGCGCCACCAGTTCGCAGGGTGTCAGATTTCCATAGGCTATTCTTAACCCATTTAAACCTCTACTTAATGATTTGTAGACATTTAAAGATGATTTTTCCATATTTTCCTTCAAAACCTCCGTTGTTCATGGGGTTTGCCATTACCATTGCGCATGTTTTCCGCAAGGAAAAAACTGATATACCGCGCCGGAGCCTCGCGCGGGGATGCATCATCTAGGGCCTTGGTTGGACATTGTTAGAAAATTTTATTGACATAAGATGTATATGAAAGATATATATGTTATTATTGTACGATATGTATGTATAATATAATAGATGTATACATAAAAGTAATATATTATATATACATATACATACTGTATATGCTAATTCTATACGTTACATGTGTAACACATGCATATCTAATAATCTATGTCTGTGGCTGCATTGCCATACCCTTAGAAACCATGACAGTAAAAGAGGTGCAAATGATCTGTATGGTACTAGATTCATATGGTACTGGATTCATTATAGTTAATTCCTATGGTTACACTATCATCATGATAGATTTATGTAACCGCATTCATAATTATATGGCTTAGTCAGGAATTTGTTACTCCCAATTCCAGTGGATTTATATATATTATCATATATTATCATCATTTTCCCTCTTAAAATTTGGGGGACCTTGCCCTATCTTCAGACAAACCCATATATATATATATATGTATATATATATATATATATCCATATACCCGCTGGCAATTTAACATAGCCATTGAAAATTGCCATTTATAGTTGATTTACCAAAAATGGGGATGTTCCAGTTCACAAAGTGTTAGTTTTCCACAGAAACACCATGTTTTTCCAAACGCCGCCAAATCCGCCGAATCCAAGGTACACGTCGCCAAATCTGTCCAAGGTCACGTCCAAAGGAGGCGTACTCCTCTGACACAATCCGCCATGGCCACCGTTTTCCCAAAAAGGGCTGTGGCTGGAACTTTGGTGAAACAAAAAAGGCCAGAAAAAATTGACATTCAATCATTCAACTTCCTTTCAATACTGGGAACATTTGATGGAACAAATACGATTTCACTAAACTCTGAAATACCGACAATGTCGAACAGGTTTCAGTTGTTTTCAAAAGCCGATCTTCGATGATTTTCATCGCAGTTTCCGCCTCCAACTTGAAATCCTGGCAGGCAACATCCTCGGCTCAGGGCATTCCATAAGGATTCCATCCACGGATGCGCCTGGTGTAACGGTTACCGTAACGGTTACACCACTGAAACCTCCCAGACATCCAGGAGGCCAGACCAAATCATCCTGAATCTCCAGCTGCTGTAGCATAAGTCGCCCATCTGCTTCCTGCCTGAAGGCTGGTGTCAGGAAAGCGGCTGGTTTCTGACATGGTGATTCAATCCTATTCAATCCTATTTACTTGCGGTTCAACTGGATGTTCCTGGCAAGTCTCTTTTAAATTGTGAACCAGTCTCCTATAAATCGTAAACTGCTGGGAATTTGCGAATTTGGCTCAAAGTTGGAAAGAAAATAGGGAAAGACAAAACTGTGACTCCATCTGCCAATGGGTCAAACTTGGGTACAGTTTTCCCCAAAAAAAGTTGGATGATGAGAACAACTGCACAGTTCATCATCATGTTCATCCACAGATATAAGATTTTGACCCATACCTGACTTGGGCTGGCACAACATGAGCAAAGCGTCGCTTGCTTGCCTTGGTCGCTTGGACACGGCGCCGTAAAACGTGGTTGTTCTTCACTAGGAGTTGCAACAAACGAAGTACAAGCGCCACAACGAGAGCTGGACAAAGAGCGTGGTTTTCTCCTATACCGCAAGAATACTGCAGTTTAAACCGTTATGTTCTGAATTTCTTAAATCCACATTTCTGGGCACATCCATCTCAATATTGCTGGCTGTATTATATATTATATAATAATATCCAAATATATCTCCGTAAATTGGTGGTTTCCGTTGAATCCCAGTTCTCGCTACTTAAATCTGGTAAGCCCCTCATCTGTGACACCAAATCCCCCTCATCTGTGACACCAAAACCTCCCTGATTTTCCCTCATCTGCGACACCATTTTCCCCTCATCTGC